GAGTCCGAGTCATTTGATTTTGAGTATCTGCCTATAGCGAGTCCCAATCCGATACTTCTATAAAAATGATGAAATGAACTAAGAGCAAAGAATAAGCTCCAGGATGGGGAGACCAGACTGTATTGATTTCAATGTGTAGTATTTGGGCTGAACTTGTGAAAAATCAAATGTCCAAAACTTTAATTTTATTTTCTAACCATGCACCATCATTGTTGAAAATCTGTACTTTTCACAGTCTGGTCTTGAAATGTGTAACTTAGTAAACTTAATGAACTGGACAAAACAGGAACCAGACCAGAATCAGATCAGACCTGAGACTCGACTCTGCACAATCTAGAGTTTGTATATTTGATATTATATGGAAGCCTGTGCATAACATTTGAAACATTTAGGCTCGTCTATGATATCCAAATAAAACAAAATCTTTCCAAATAAAAATGAGATGACAGAAGCCCTACAGCCTCTCTCCCCCCGCCGCCCTCACTCCCCCGCACCGTCACCACATCCACAAACCCAGAAACCCACAGCGGAGCACGCACCGCAACATCGGTCCCACCGCTCAATAGACGCTTCATGCCGCTTTTCCTACCCTCTCCCCGCCAAAAGCGCCAACTCCGTTCTGCAACATGCAAACAAACAGCGCCGTGAGACGACACCATCGGCTGTGCAGGTGCGAACACGGGCCACAGAGCCACAAGTAACAGCACCCGAGCACGACACGGCCTAAAAGTCTCATGTATATATATTAACTAACTTTAATAAAGGGTGCAATTCAGGAGGACTTTACATAGCTTGGGGACCTTCTATCCAGAAGGACTTTCCAGCTGATTCCCATACATCCATAGACAGATAGAAGGCCACACGGTAATATAAAAGAAAGTGCTATGATTTGATGTTGAAAATTGCATTCTATTGTCTAAAGAAAGAGTGTTTTTATTATCATTCTTAATCAAAATCAGTACTGACTATCGAATCTATTCCTTAGTATCGAAATTGAGTTTGAAATGTTTGTATAATGTCAACACCAGTACACCAGCAAATCCCCAAAAGCAAATAACGCATACCTCTTCTCACTGTTGATATTTCTGACTGATTTTTATACAAATCTCCAACAATTTTTCCTCACAGGGGTCCATCTAAACCCCTCTGCTGGGCATCTGGAGGTCGTATCCCCCTGCCCGCTGTGCTGCTGACAGATCACATTTATTTTTAATCTGGGCGATGAGAGGCTGCCACACACTACAGATCATGTGGCTTGTTAGAGTAGAGTGGCTAGCCCCGTGTCCGCAGCCGCTTCCAGTTCCTATAAGAGAAAGAACACAATATAATGACCTTGGCGCGGTAAAGCCTTGGTAATCGCAGGTAGGGCACAACGTTGTTCCATTATTATTCCGTGCGGTGGTTGTTGTTGTTTCATTCCGTGTCAAATCTCCCCCACTTTTTGCCTGATTAACATTTTGACCCTGCCCGCTGGCTCCATGTGTCTTCAAGGGCGGGACATTGATCGTGTTTATCATATTTATTGTACGGCAGTGGTACAGGTCGGCCAGATCATACAGGGCGACGAAGAGGACGTATCGTTATCGCGAAGCTAGAAACTGCAATTTTTTTAAACTTTTTTGGACACTGGTCTTGGTCCTTTTCCAATGTTAGGCTTGTAATCAACAGTTTTCCAATGCCAGGATTTTGTGTAATCTTTTCGAATGTGTTGCAAGTACTCACCTTGATATATATTACTGTGTTTATTTTGCTCTTTCAGTTCATCTTTTCCCCATGATAATGAAGTAGTCTAGTGGTGAGCAATAACCCCAAATACAGACTTCACGTTTTTGATTTGACCACAGTTTTTGTATTTAATATCAGACATTAAAGCTTAAAGTTGCATTGTGTAACTTTTCCGGTGGAGGGTCCGTCAGTGGAGATGTTATTGCTTTGTCTGGAATGTTTCACAGTATGGATCTTCATGGAGACCAAATCAGACCAAGTTACAGGTCAGATCTGTGGAGAGGCATCCCTGCTCGCAGTCAGAATGTCTGTTTTTCTAAGTAGTTTTGAGCTATAAACCCATCTGTTATGTAATGATGTCTCCATAGAAACAACCAGGTGAAGGACCCTCAACCAAACAGTTACATAGTTCACGTTTAAGGGATAACTGACAGAGACTGACCAATAGGAGGAGTGCGTGTGGAAAAGTGTCTGTGTTTGAGCATAGAGCTGAGTTTAACAGAAAAGCACCAAATCACAATAAGACAATGTTACCAAAATAGTTCCCGGGCCAGGCAGAACCACATGCTTTGACAAAAGATGAGTGGGATTGGAACCGAATCCTCAGAGACTCAGGTGCTCAGTTCAGGTAAAAACAAACATGGCGGCTTAGGGGTAAAAAAAATAAACATAAAACAAAAACAGAATCACCAATAAAAGCACTGAAGTGTTACTTATGAGAACGTTATGAGAATTTTAGAGTTGTCTTCTCCATTTGAGAGACACGTGATACAAATGAGCGGCTGTGCTTGGACTGTCCCAGGTTTGGACAGAGGTTTTTCACGCTGGATTCAGACAGAATGTAGAAGGGAGTGGCTGCTCAGGCAACTAAAATACAGGGTTCCTACTCTTTTTCACATGACTTTTTCATGACCTAAAGTGAATTTGATTTTATGGCACTCTACATGTGTAGAATTGAGCAAACTTTTAGGGCTAAATATGAAATGTTAATCTTTTCCACTCACCTTATGGTATGATATTTTTTTAAACATTTAAAATATTGTAAATGCATTTATTGTCGTCTCTTTTTAACAAAAAGCGCATACGTTTGGAAATAATCATAATAGCCTAATTATAAATTAACAGAACGCTGTAGTTGCGTGAAAGAGATACTAAAATTGTAAGAGTGTAATGATATCCAAGTGTCATGATACAATATTTTCATGATATACATCTTATGGTACAATATTTATTGCTATATTTTGTGGAGGCTTACAAAACTGACAAGACATAATCCAGAGAACTAAGACATAAAAGTGCTTAGAACTGTTATTTCTTCATGTAATCTACGATCATGGTCTATATAGTTCCCTCTGTTTTTTTTTGTTTTTGTTTTTTTTTAGCCGTTGCTGTACCATAACTCTTAATTTAAGCAAAGAGACTTGTAATTTCATGTATTGTGTTGGTCCACGATATTACTGTGAGAAATTTAAAGACACAGTATCACGATATTTCGGTTAGTGTTACATCCCTATAAATTAAATTACATGACATTTCCAAAACTTTCATTGAATTTACAAAATCCCATGATTTTTCCAGGCCTGGAAAATGACATTTTCAATTTCCATGACTTTTCCAGGATTTCCATGACTGTGGGAACCCTGAAAATAGCAGAACGTCAAAGGATCAGATCATCATTGCTCAGCCTTATAGTGAAGTACTTAAGGCATAATACACAAAATACTGCATTCTACAAACCTAAATATTATTCTCTCTGCATTTTGCTGATTGGCTTATGTAATACAAAAATTCTTGATGTATTTTTAGTGTTTTTCATTGGCAATGATAGAAATAACAAAGAATTTTAAGTCTAATCCTATGGAGTAAGAAAGCTGTCAAAAATATTCGTGCGCATAAAATGAAATCCGTGCGTATGATATGAAACTCATGATGCTCAGCTGAATGGCTGAATGAAAGAACATGTTTTAATCTAAACAATACAGAGAACCTGATATTTGCTAATTAGCCCTGGGATAACATTACGTCGGATGTTAGCCAACTGGCTCCACTATGTTATCTAACATATAGGTGCAATTTCCCGTTCAAAGGAGGTGTTTCTACACAATATTATACAGCAGCGTTCGGTTCCCGAATTCAAGACATTTTTACAATAGATTTTAATGAACCCACTTGTTGGTCGCTGTTGTAGCTTCTTGTGCTATTACTCTGTTTTTACCCTCTGCTACGAACTTGAGCATGCGCAGTCTTGATCTTGATCGATGTTTTCTTCTGCTCGATGGATAATGTCTGTGAAGTGATGACGTATTTTTGACAATAAAGTTCCGTCTGTGAATTCGTATTAGTACTGATGAAAGCGTAATCGTAAATTTTCATTTCGTGATTGTAATTCATGACGTCGTAATTTTTCAATTCGTATTCTGATGGATAAAATACACACAATATATTTTATGTACGACTGGACTCATTTGAGAGTTTACAAATATTTATTTTATGCGCAACTACAGCCAAATACGCACGGATTTCTCGCACGAATATTTTTGACAGCTTTCTTACTCCATATAATCCAGTCTTGGTGCATTGTCAGGAAATTTACTCCAATGGCCCAAATCTCTCCATGACTCAGACTGTAAGAATTACAAGAGAGTTGCATTTTAGCGTCGTAATTTCTCCTTTATCGCTATAGATTTTATCCGGGATGTCATTGCTAAAGGGGATAGTAATATGCAAGTGCTTTTTAGTTACCTTTAATCATCACCAATTTGAAACTGCATACCTTAAAAGCAGCCATGCCTACTGTTTTGTATTGACGCCTCATCACTTCACCCAATTTCTCTGTATTGAAAAATGTCATTACCGCCGCATCTCAGCTTATTGCGGCCTCCAAGCTGTAATTCTGCTGACAGCACTTCTGACTTTGCCTCCTCTCTCCTCTTTGTGTTCTGTCCCTTTCCTGATAGGTGCCAATTATACAGCGAGCGCACCCGAGCGTCCCCTAGCCACGTGTGACCCTGTTAGCCGACTATAATGTCAACTCCCCGGGCCGAAGCTGGAGAGAGAAAGACGGAATTACCTCGCGCTTAATCGTCCGTCAGGAAAAGACAAAAAAAGATGACCGAATCTGGACTCTTTTGCAACCTTTTCAACTGACGAAACCCGTCCAACGCTGGCTTTGCTCGGACGGTGCGGATAAGCCCTTAAGGTTTTGACATTTCCATTTTTTTGCTCAGATTTTTTTGTTTTGCCTCTGCCCCGGACGCTTTTGGAGCTCGGCCCAGATGTCGGGGTGGTGTAGCGGGGGAGTCGGTAGGGCCCTGGCTCTCTTGGCGATGCTGTTTGCCTGGAGAGAGATGGCGTGCGAAGCGTTGGACGCGAGCTCGGGGGAATCGGACAGGCCCCCACAGGCAGGGGGCGACCCGTGGGACGTCCTGCACAGAAACAGGCGCAGCTGGGTATGGAACCAGTTCTTCGTGCTGGAGGAGTACACCGGGAATGAGCCTCTCTACGTCGGAAAGGTAAGCGATGTGTGCATGTGTTGATGGTTCTGTGCTGTCATGCTATGTTTTGTTTTGTGGGTCATATGATCTTTATCTGTGGTCTTTAGGGTTTTTTGGAATGAGGTATTGGAATGAGCGAAAGATGGATCTCTGATAATACTGAGAGTAAAAGTAACACGTTTTCAAATATGAATCTCTTACCTACTTGTTGAGAGATGCACAGTTTTAACAGATATACAAATGCATACTGTTAAAATATCTGCACATTCACAAGAGGCTAATCCTCCAACTGGGTACTTCATGGACCATGGATCAGTTACAATGATGTCCACTGATCTTCACAGGTTTCTTCTGTCAGTAGGCTACATGTCATAGTCATGAACAAAATTAGAGATGCACTGATCCGATACTGGATACCAGCGCCGACACTGAAAAATTTGCAGGATCGGATTTCGGCTTCCAAATATTATTTCAGCCGATATTTTGATTGGATGTATCGGAATGTAATAAGACAATTTATTGATTGTAGTCGTCCAGAAAGTCAAATATTTGAACTTTTATTTATTTGAAGTTGTTCTATAGTAGAGGTCTCACCCGCACCCGCATTATGCATTGTGTGCCCGCAAAGAATTGTAATTTTCATTCCTGCTCCCGCCCACATCTGCAGTATTTTGTCCGGTTACCGGCCGCAAATCCCGCAAATTGGGGACGTTTGGTTTGTTAAGCTCTACCAAACACAGAGAAGCCCAAAGAAATTGTGCGTGAGATTAGACCATGTACGCAAGTTTAGGCTGCTTAAATTTTTTTATTAATGCCAATTAAAATATCGAGCACACTAATCATTTTTGTATTTTAATTTACACTCATATTTAGTTTGCAGGACTGCAGTTTATCATCCCACCCGCCCGCTCCCGCATTGTGGAGTCCCGTTCCCACCCGCTCCCGCAATGAGCTTTCAAAATGTGTCCCACGCCGCACTGTTTTGCGTCGGGAGGGCGGGGCTCTATTCTGTAGTTCCTTGACAGATAAATAACAGCTCCATAACTCATTTAGATCCATTTTTATTTTATTTTAATTTTTTTTCACGAAATAAATGCTGTTTTTAGTCTTTGCACTGGTATCGGCAGATAAAGCTTGGTGCATCCCTAAGCAAAATATTTAAAACTATTTTTTGCTGATTTCTAATGATAGTAGCCTAAAACCATTGGGGGTTGCTGTATAATTTTTAAATCATGGCACTGTATTTAATCTGTTATTTTGAAAACAGCATATTGTAGAGAAATTCCAGGAGGTCCAATTACACAATGAATGATGTTTTTAAGTTCGATCTGATTAACCAAAGCCCAAACAAACTGTGTTCGTAGTTTGTTCGAGGCTAGTGTATACCCAAATCTAAACAAGCCTTGGGCCTTTTAACCACTGGTATAGTCCAGGCAGCTAGTCTCCAAAACTATAGAACAAAACGATCTTACCTACTGAATGGCAAATCTTTCCTGGGGGTCCCAATATTAGCGGAGGACATTACCATTCTGCTCACGGCGTAAGATAGAAGATTCATAACGCCTTCGCTCTATGTCACTTCAATGTCATTTTCTCCCCTGATATTTGATGTTGATAATTACATTTTCTTGCTTCATTCCCATTGATTTTAGTATGTGCTCAGAACGTGTGGAAATGGGGTCCGCTCCGAAAGCACGATAAATTACAGTTATAACATGTACCCAGGTGTGATTGACTGTCATCACTTGTCATGAGCCTGTATTAATTTGACATTTAACATGCTACCCTATAACCTTGACATGACGTGGAAAAAATACATATTTACAGATTGAAAATATTAAGTGAAGTCGGCTGAAACGGCGCTGGTTAACATTAGGGCTGCCTAAAGTATCGAAAATCAGACACTAATTGAAACTAAAACTAATATCCAAACTGGATACTCAATTGTGCAGATATTGATACTAAAAAAGGCACATTCACAGCTGTATGAGAACAAGTATAAGACCAAATAGACTAATCATCCATGGACCACGATGGAACCTACCTGGACAGTGTTATAACAGTTTAAAAATATAGTAATATAAAAGAAAGTACTACAATATAAAGGTCCAATATTGCAAAAAAAATGATCTTTTAGCCATGTTATAATGCTGTTTCCTCATCAGAAACATAGCTGAAGTTGTGTTTTGTTTCATTCACACATGTTTGAGTAACTCTTTATTATTAGTAGGTACAGGTATTCGATAAAATTTTCTCGGGAGAAAAAAACGGGAGAATTAAGGATTAATCATTAATGTTTTCATATTAAAATTACCATCATTATTATTTCTATTACTAATCTGTATAAATAAAATCAACTTTACAACATATAAACCATAACCACTATAGAGCCACATCAGCCCATTTGACATGATAATCTGTTTAATGCAGCTTTGACACATTTGTTTACGTTTTACAGAAATAAAACTTAAAACCACATGGCTCATTTGCATAAACTATAAGCACTGAAGAAAAACTGCTCGCTACTTGTGCCCTGATGTGGTTCAGCTTGTGTTGGTCTAAAGGACATGACTGTGGAATATGATGAATATGTTTTCAGAGATCAGACGTGTGCAGGTTTAGCACAGTTCTTTATTTAACATAATTTCACTCACTTTATTTATTTTACCTACTGTTGTTATGAAAAGACTGAAAAGTGTTTGTCTTTTGGACACATGCGCACTCAACATTATGTTGCTGTAATTGGCATACTGCGTTTACATGCACCATGACGAAACCAGGACACTCAAAAAACCCGATCATACCCGGGACACTGATGTGAATGTAAACACACTCACTGAGTGTTACAGTGATCTCCAAGGAGCCAGAGCCCAAACGTGGGACTGTGAGGCTGCAACTCCAGTGTTCGACAAATCAACAAAATTCTTAATGATTACTTATTGATTAGTTGACTAATCATGCCCATCCCTAATTATTAGTCTGGCTACATCACCAAAGCTTAAAATGCTCCAATTTGTGATGTTATGAAGCAGCAGTTTTCAAGTTGACAGCTACCTTTTACCTTTAGTTCAATAGAGGATTCAATAGAGATTCAATTTCAATAGAGAAATTATCCAACCGGTTCCAGTGAAGGTGCATGGAGTTTAAAAACACAGTGGAGCACATCCTGTATTCCCACTTGACATCAGAAGGTGGAACAGAGTGTTTTCAATTTGAGAGAAGGCCTGCTTTAAACATGTGAAAGAAACAAAACACGACTCCAGGTGTGTTTGTGATGAGGAAACAACATTATAACATTGATCAGAGAATCGTGTAATACGGGCCCTTTAGCGTTAGCCTCGTTATTATTATTGATTGAGGGAATAGATGGGACATTTTGCATAGGACTGTAACCTTGAACACAAAATAAACAAATAATAGCTTGTAGTGTGTAGATACAGAGTTCACATAGACTATTGAGAGCAGTACTGAATGACTACATTAGCTCCAAGAGAACATTAGCTTGTGCATGCATTAGATGTGTCTTTGGGGAATAGTGTGTATTATTGACGGTCACTTGTCGTACTAGGCTGTGTATTCATATGGCGTTTTCCATGGGACACTGTAACCTGGACAGATGGTGGAAAATCGTTCACTCACTCATTTCAAACTAACCATAAGCTTTATTTTTATAGTAGCAATGAAAGTAGGTTATTGCATGTAGGCTACATGAAAATAAATAAATAAATACTGGTAATCTGACCCTTCACTTTATTGAAAGGTACACTATGTAACATTTCTGGTGGAGATGTTATTGCATTGCATGGAGTGTTCTATCTTGCATAGTCAATGAAAAACATGCATCCTTTTTTTAAGTGGCCTCGTCTCCACTGATCTGCACCCGTAACACGATCTGGTACTGGGAAGTATAAATATTTTCTTAAACAGATATTAGTGAGAAAGTTTGAGATTGACAGGTCTAGGCTAACGTGATTCATCAGCTGGTTTCACTTTGTGGAAACCGTCTGACCTCGCAGCGTTGGAATTCGTTCGCTTGATGGTAGGCGAGTACTTTTTTAAATTTAACCACTGCTATTTTGTCATGATGTATGTAATGCGCCACTAACGGGGCTAACTGGTATATTAAGCTTTTCCCAAATCCCATAGGAAGAAGGACAATAACATCTTTCCTCTTGATAAAATTCACTGAACATTCTCTTTATTCTGGTTTTAAATCTTCGATCTTGTTGCCAACACAGAATGTATGGCTCTTTGCTGATTGGCTGGTGCCCGAACTCGCTCTTCGAGGGTTTTTGCGAACTGTCTAGTGTATTCCGATTCCTGACCTAGTCACTGGAGAGAAATTAAATTGAGCGGAGGCACTAGGTGGTGCCAGCTTGACTAGGTCTAGGCTACAGAATCATTCAAATGCATGGTAACCGAATTAGTCCATTGGTGTCAGTTGGTACAAAATTAAAAGTGAATCTTGGGTTCTTTGGTTCTTTTTAAAGACAGTACAGGAGGAGATGTTTTTACCTTGTTGACGTGATTCGGCTCCGAGCTGAGAGCCATCTTCAGAACTGTCACTGGTGTTGGTGGTGACATGTCGTTTATCAGCTGTTGTTACTTCCTGTGGGTGTGGTCAGTCTGATGGACCTGGCAGGTCGCTCAGATTGACCACGCCTCCTGTTGCCCGGTGGTCTTTGGAGGTGAAAAGGGGAACTCTGTCAGACAGGTTCTGAGGTTGGCCTGCAGCCAGCAGCGGAAACCTGTCAACAAGGTAAATACATCTTCTACAGTCTTGTTTTTATAAAGAACCTGTAAGAAGTTAATGTGTAAAAGAAGACAAAACAACTGCTTCTGGATTAAAAGTGAATCTGGTCTTGCACAACACTAAGCCAATGTCTATCTGCCCCAAATCCTTAAATTCACTTGTAGCCTTAATTATTGTTTATTCAACTAAAGCGTACTTGCATTCCGGAACAGTATTAATAGCCTTCCACTGAACTGCATCTTAGAAAACTTAAGCCAAGTCCCCC